GGTTCTGGCCAGGAAGTTGTGCTGGATGCTCCTCTAAGCCAAGTGTCCCTGATTTTCATCCGGGGAGTATTGTTCAGATAACAGAGATCCTGGAACAGGTTTCCAAGAAGGGGATATGCATTAGGGAGGCTGGGATCTCCTTGTTATGACCTCATAGTCCCCAAATCTCACCTGAGTGTGACACAAACCTACAAGGAAACTCCCAACATTGTCCTCAGGAACTAGGAACAATGACTTGAGGACTTACATTTGGAAATCTGCTTTAACTTTGCTGTGTGATCCTCGGGCCAGACTTTGCCCTCTCTGACTAGCCTTCTGGTTACCAAACCAGTCACCTCTTATGTCATCTCACTGCACAGTGAGGCCCACTCCCTTAGCAAGCTCCTAGAGAAGATACTCTGAAAAGCATCCCATGAGGAATTGAAGAACAAACACCAGGGAAGCAAGGCTCCTGATGGGAATTGAACAGGCTGAGGCTGGACCCAGCGACCCCACCCGCCCGCTCAGAAGCTGCGGCTCATTTCCAAGAGCTTTCCTCCCTTGATTTGGCCTGTTTTCCAAACACGGGTCAAACGGTCCCTCTCCAGAGCAGCAGGAGCAGGAAAACGTTATTAAAAATGAGCCGTTAGTGGGCATCGGGTGTGGATGAGGTCTGTGCAGTTTTGGCTGCCAAATAAAGACTGTATTGTTGTCATTCCTCCTTTCCCAAGCGCCCTCCCTCTCTCCTCTCTGCCCTCCCCCCTCCAATCTGCCCCTCCCTCCCCCTAACCTAACCTCCCCACCCCAATAGAATCTGGTGGAAGAAAGTCAGGCAGACACACACAGACAGACACGCACCACTGGGAGACCAGAACTCCTAGCTGGCTCTCTGCTGCCACAGCTCCACCAAAGGGTGGGGAGGAAGAGAGGAGTGCCCCAGAGTCCAGAGGAGAGGCCGGTGTGAGCAGGTAAGCCAGACAATGGGGGAGAAGACTAGAGATGAGAAGGCTCCTTCCTCCAAGGGATCCCTCTAGCTCTGTCCAGTCCTCTTTTCCTTCCCCCTTCCCTTCTTCCTCCTTATTTTCCTTCTCCACAGAGCTCAGACTTAGTCTTCCTCATTTCTTGCTGACACCCTCAAGTCTCTTCAGCATCCTATGCCCTTGTGTTTGCTTGCTGCTGAAGTTAAACTTTCTTCAAGTGCAGATGTTTGTTGAACACACAGAGCTGTGTCGCACACAGAATTTCAACAGAGCAGATGTTGCCATAGAAACTGGACACTGGAACCCAGTTCTCTGCACCTTTCATGTACTGTCACACATCACAGAAGACAGACAGACAGACAGACAGACACAGACACAGACACACACAGACACACACACACACACACACACACACACACACACACACACACACACACACACTCTTACCCTCTCACGTGCCTCCTCAGTTGCAAGACCAGAGAGAAAGTGTCCTCCCGCTGAGACCACAGGTCCAGAAGACGAGCATGTCTTGGCTGAGCAGGGAGGGCATGAGCAATTGAGTGATTATTTTTTCTTTTTTCTTTTACACTTAATTAGGTAGGAGGGAGAGAAAAGTGGCTCTCGGGCCTGCACAGTATCTTCTCAGCAGCCTAAATTCCTGCCTGCCTGGTCCAAACCACTTGGCTTTTGCAAAGAGAAGTCAATGGAGCCTGCAAGCCTTGGAGGCCTTATCTCCAAGTTAACAGCTTTTCTTCTCCCTGCAGGTAGTCAGAAACACATTTCTCTCTGAAGTTATTCTGAGATTATTCTGACCATTCAGTTGGTAAGGGGGCTTCAAGTAGAAGAAGGGGGAGGGGAGGGGAACCTGAGAACCTTATTTACATAACTCCCTCCCTTCCAGCTATAGAGGGGCCCCATAGCAGCAAGAAGGGTGATCTTGAGAAGCCACTGGGCAGCAGGCATGGACTATGGAAGCTTTACTAAAAACATAGCCAGACACTCACTACTGACCCATCAAACAGGGTCCAAGGTCCAGAGCTATTTTATTTCACCCTGAGACTTCCCTAGTGTTCAAGGCACAGAGGGCTGTGTGACTTCCTGGGAAAGGAGCCCACAGTCCTAACAGTGGGAGTGACTACATATGATTGCCACCCCCACCCCACCCCCATGCCATTATCATCAGCCTCGTGAGCCCAGGCAACCATATTCCCAGAGAACATTCTAGAAAGAAAGGAAGTTACCTCAGGACAGCTCCTGTTACCTGCTAGGTTACCTATCTCAGGCATCCAAGAACTGGTACTGGGCACTGTCTCCATCCCTTTTAGATCCCCTGTCTCCAGGTTCCACAGCCCTGTCCTGCTTAACTCTCTCAGAGGACAGAATAGATGACAATGAGTTCCTTACCCCCCCCCCAGAGAACATGTGAGTAGAGCCTCTTCAGGCAAAAAGAACAAAAAATGGCAGGCTGGGAGAAGCCACAACTAGCAGAAAAGAGTGACATCCCTTTGCTAGCCAGGGTCCCCATTTGCTGCAGAAAGCAGACAGTCAGGATAACAATAAGGTGAGCTTTGCCCAAGTGTCTAGGGAGTTCCAGCCAGCTGATTCCAAATGCCAAATATGGTCTCCTGGGCCTCAAAGGGCATGAAGTTCCTCTGAGTAGAAAATCTAGTACCTATACTGCAAGAAAGACCCCTGCCTTCCAGCAGAAGAGGGATAGAGGATTCTAACCAAACAGGCTGATAGGAAAGCAAAAGAAACAACAAACAAACAAAAATTCATTCAAAGTGGCACAGGGACCCATCCTTGACGTACACTGAGCACACAATTTGCACATCACCTGATGTAACCCTTAGAACATCCATACCGCAGTCTGGTGGTAGAGTACTTGTATAATATCCACAGAGCCCTGGTTTTGGTCTTTAGTACCTCAGAGTTGCCCAGCATGCCCGTTTTACAGATGAGGAAACTGAGCTTGTGTAGTGGTACCCAGGTAAAATAAGTTGCAGGGTGGAATCTGTACCTATAACCACATCCAATGTCACTCAGATTCTTCTCACTTTAGTCAAGGAGCAAAGGTACTGGGGAGAGAAGCAGGAAGGCAGATATAGGGGGCAATAGGCTATTAGGGATTGCCTATCTGTCTGATTTCTTCCTACCACCTCCCATACACACACACACACACACACACACACACACACACACACCAGCAATGGGGAGCTTGCTCTTTCAGACTAGTTCCCTAAAACCATAAAACCTCCACTCTGTTTATAATTGCCTGTTGAACCAGGAACATGATGGTTACTCTGCAAATAGCGTCAAACTTGTTCTTAGCACATTTTGATCTGCATTTCATTTTAAAATTGCCTGTGCCGTTGACATCTGATAACTGGGTAAGCGTCACCCAACTCTATCTAGTTCACAATGTACATTTAGAAGAACCACAGTCCCTGGGCTGCCCTGGCCCACAGTACCTCAGGACCGTGCTGCAGGAGTCCAAACAACTCCTGGGTTCTTAGCCCAGATAAGCAGGACAGGTAGGAAAGAGGACTGTCTCCCTTTAAACTCAGGGAGCCTTTCCCAGAGCCTGCTTCTCAGCATGAGCTCATCCCATCCTCACACAGATGTCAAAACTGGGGCCAAACAGGAGGGTCAGAGGCAGGATCCGCCCAGGCCCACGCTGTCAGAGTTGAAATTTGAATAGTAAGATCTTTTAGGAAAGGCTTCCAAAGGTAGATTGTGAACTGGGGTTGGGTGAATCCATTGCTTCCTCTGGGAAGATGCAGCCTTGTGAGCCAGGCCTGGAGAGCCAGGCTGCATACGTTTGATGAGGGGCCGTCAACAAGTGCTCATTGATTGAGGGTGACCAGGGCCAATAGGGTGTGGGATTGGATGGGGCTTGGGGAGGTACACTTTCAGAAGCTTAAGTGATTTTAAGTACAGGCATCCCGCCCTAAGGGAGCTAATGACTTGGAGGATGGGATCATAGGACCCTGGCTCTGGGCTTTGTTGGTGAGACTAAAACCCCTCTGGAGAGGGGTTACCTCCAATCTGTCTCAGCTCTCCTTTATAGAATGCTAGAGCAGCAGAGCACAGCTAGAGAGAATTGCTCTGCAGTGAGACCTTCCCAGAAGCCCAGCACAGCACAGCTCAGCAGGAAGGGGTGTGCCGGTGAGGAAGGCCTTGGAAATGAACACAGTTTCCTTGTGCACTCTGCACACAGATCTCTGGTTCAGCCTGGGGCCTGAAAGAGGGGAGGATTGGTTCTCTTTCCCCAAGGAACAGCCCCACTTCAGATCCAGGGAGCTTGTTTTGGGGAGCCTCCTGGGGCTGAGATACAGAAGAAAGGGTTTGCAAAGACTCTGACCTGGAGATGAGGATGAGGAAGGCCTGGAGACCCCATGCCCGAGCCAGGCAGGTAGAACTGAGTGGGGTTCCCATTGACAGTGAGACAGGGTAGCCTAGCACACTAACGTGAGACCCACCGATACCCCCAGCAACAGAAGCCAGTTGCCCCAGATACCGTGTCTCACAGGGCAGGCTCTGCTGGGTCTCCTGGAAAGTTTGTTTGGTTAACTTGGGGTCCATTACTTCACCTTGGAAGTGCCTTTGGCCACAAGGGCAATAGAGAACTTCAGAACTTCAGTCAGACCTAATTTTGGCTTGGGGCAAGTTTCTCACAGCATTGGGGTAATTTTGCCTACAGACTTCTGGGTAATTCATAAACAAAGAGATTCAAAAGGAACAGAAAAACAAACCAGGGTTGCAAAGCCAGGCACTTTTAACATGTTTTTGGAATGGTAATGCTTCACTTTCTTCGTTTCTATGGAATATGACTATTCTATTTTCAAGAAAATTAAAAGCCTTATAAAAATGTGAATTCCTACACTCCAGTTAGAAAGTGATGTGGAATCTAGCAACAAGGCTCAAGTTCAAGTCTACAAGGAACATATTATCTGTTTAGTCCTTTCAGAGAAGCCTCGGTGCGGATGAACCAAAACCCTAACTGCAGGTCCCTTGTCACAGAAGGCCCAGGAAAATGACCTTCTAAATGTACCTGAGAGGTCTGTCTGAGATGCCCACCCAGACAGGAGAGAGAAGCACCAGGCAAGATGGCCTCTGCCTTCCCAGTTCTACTCTCCTCACACAGACCAACATACAAAGCTCAAAAATGCATACAGGGCCCTGAGAATGTGTGTTTGCCCATGTGTATGGGAGAGGGCTGAGTGTATGCACAGAGTGGTACAGGCTGGGGCAAAGAGGTGTGTGTGTATGTCTCTCTCTATGTGTGTGTGTGTGTGTGTGTGTGTGTGTATGTATTGTGTGTGTGTGTGTGTATGTATGTGTGTGTGTGTATGTGTGATATATGGCTAGGGACAGGCACAGTTAGATTCTATCCATTAGGGCCTGAGCTCTGCCTTCTTGCCTGTTATCTGTCACATTCAGCTCTTCCTGAGCATCTGACACACAACCCCCCCCACCCCCGCTCCTTTCCTTTGATTAAAGCATGCAGAAGGTAGACTCTAGAAAAAGCAAAGGAAGATTTGACATTGATATGGGCTCAGGGGGTGGTGGGTGGGGGATGGAGGCCTAAACAAGAGGCTATGAGCACAGGGTTCAGTTACAAGCTAGGGACACACTTCAGCCATTCTGCCTCTGAGAACCCCAAGAAGCCGTTCCCAGGGCAACGATAGTGAGGAAGATTTGAGGTGAGCCAGTGACAAGCTATGGGAAATATCAGGGGTGAGGAGGATACGAAGTACAGGCCCTCTCCCTGTGCCCTTCCTACCCCAGGCTGGAGAGGGGAACCCATGGGAGCTGCCACTCTAGCAAGTATGGATCGTTTGCTATTTCCCCTCTTTCAACTTAGCTCCAACCACACAAGGCAGCAGAGCCACCCAAAAGCCCCTTCAGTGCTTGATGCCAGTGTTCCTGAGGCTACCAAGAATTCTTCCTAATACTCCATTTCAACACTACCAATTCCAAAGTAAATGGAGTGACAATACCAGCTCTAAAGAAAGGAAAGTGTTTTCCTCACGTCTTTCTATTCCTTTCCTGTTTATTTTCCCAAGGGCCTCTACATCTGGGGAGGAATTCTTGGCATGGCTCATGTTGGCAAAGGCCAGCTCTCTCTGAGCCAAGTGCAGAGGAGGGGACAGAGCATGGGTGAGTGGGTGAGTGTCTGAGCATTTCCCTTTCAGAAGACCTCCTGCATTTTTTTTTTTGCCCTGTGCACACTGTCAAGCAGCCTCCTGGCCCCCCCCAAGGCACTTCTTTCTTCCAGCTTTAACTGTATAAAGAGTGGGGATTGGCCATGGTGGGTGGATTGCAGACCATTTTTAGCCATGATGTTTTCCTCTTTTCTTCAAATGCTTTGTCTAACCACCCTCGTGTGTGTGTGTGTGTGTGTGTGTGTGTGTGTGTGTGTGTATCTTTCTCGGTATTTCTATCTCTGTCTATAACAGATTTAAACAGCAAGTCTGTTCATGCTAGGAGTCACCTTGGGGGCCCCCTCTCAGTGAACCTCCTCAGGGGATGCACAGGAACGTAGGTGCACAATTTGAAAACCACTACCATAAGGAATTTGTAAGGAATTTTCCAGAACCACTGGACCATATCTTAGCTTCCCCTGCCCCCCCCAAAAGGGTCGGGAACTTTCCTTGGGGGAGGGGTGATATAAAAAGTGTCCAGTGGATTTTGACATCACTCCGTGGCACAGCACTACCTTGAGCACTACTCCTTATAGGTGTGGGGTGATCGTTGCATGTTACACCAGGGCAGAGTCTCCCACCCCTAGTGAAGGGTCTCCAACATGCCTTAGGACGCTGGGCTCCCAGCTTTCCACCAACAGGTTCCTTCCCACAAGGGGGACGGGGCTCCTCGAAGAGTTCCATAGCCCCAGGTCCCCACCTGCTCTTCATGTCCCTGGCTCTGCCTCTCTCCCCAGGATTTAGCTCAGGAGGAGCCCTGCTGCACAGACAAGCCTTCTATTCCTGAGGCCCAGCAGGCTAATTATTCCCAGTTTCCTCCCTGCAGGTACATCACCTGGATCATGAGGGCATCCTTCTTCTGGACCCTCCCACTTCTCCTCACCTTGGCCTCAGTGGCCCAAGGCCAACCAAGACCAAAACCTGGGATTAGGCGGAAACCCAAGCCCAGGCCCACACCCAGCTTTCCTCAGCCCCACGAGCCAGCAGAGCCTACAGACCTGCCTCCGCCCCTTCCTCCCGGCCCTCCATCTGTCTTCCCTGACTGTCCTAGAGAATGCTACTGCCCCGCTGACTTCCCATCAGCCCTCTACTGTGACAGCCGAAACCTCCGCAAGGTCCCTGTCATCCCACCACGCATACATTACCTTTACCTGCAGAACAACTTCATCACCGAGCTCCCTCTGGAGTCTTTCAAGAATGCCACAGGCCTGAGGTGGATCAACCTGGACAACAACCGAATCCGCAAGGTGGACCAGAGGGTGCTGGAGAAGCTCCCCGGCCTGGCATTCCTCTACATGGAGAAGAACCAGCTGGAGGAGGTGCCATCAGCTCTGCCCAGAAATCTGGAACAGCTGCGGCTAAGCCAGAACCACATCTCTAGAATTCCACCCGGAGTGTTCAGCAAGCTCGAGAACCTGCTGCTCCTGGATCTGCAGCACAATAGGCTGAGTGACGGGGTCTTCAAGGCCGACACTTTCCAGGGCCTCAAGAGTCTCATGCAGCTCAATCTGGCCCACAACATCCTGAGAAAGATGCCACCCAAGGTCCCCCCAGCCATTCACCAGCTCTACCTGGACAGCAACAAGATCGAGACCATCCCCAATGGCTACTTCAAGGGCTTCCCCAACCTTGCCTTCATCCGCATGAACTACAACAAGCTGTCAGATCGAGGGCTCCCCAAGAACTCCTTCAACATCTCCAACTTGCTGGTGCTCCACCTGTCACACAACAAGATCAGCAATGTGCCGGCCATCAGCAACAAGCTGGAGCACCTGTACCTCAACAACAACAGCATTGAGAGTGAGTGGGATGGGGCCCGGCCAGACAGAGGAGAGCAGAGACTTAGTAGTCTACACTTTCTCAGGCGCGCCAGGGTGGGACTACTGGGAAGAAGCAACTACTGGGACAGGGATGTAGCCTTCTAGAGTTCTTTCTCTATCTAGCCCTGGCTGCCCTGGAACTTGTTCTGTAGATCAGGCTGGCCTCAAACTCAGAGATCTGCTGGCCTCTGTCTCCAGAGTGCACCACCACTGCCTGACTTAGAGTTCTTTCTAGCATGCATAAGACCTTACCTTCTATACTTGGCACTGAAGAAAAAGGAGGGGAAAAACCTACTAGTTTTGACTGTGGCCTCACTATCTGCTGTATCTGTGTGACCTGGAAAAGATATTCTACCCATATGGAATATTTCCTTACCTGTAAAATGAGGATCTTCTAACACAGAGTCAATAGGATGATCTAATCGTGTGTGTGTGTGTGTGTGTGTGTGTGTGTGTGTGTGTAGTGTAGTGTGCTGAACACCATGCTTGAAAGGTTTTCTTTCTCCATCCCTTCTTATCAGCATCAGTTTTTCTGGCCACTAGGCCTATAAATAGGATAGTAGACACAGAAATTCTGCTGGGTATTTTTCCTAAGAGTAGAATAGAGATGATACAAAGTGCCCGAGTTCTGGGCCTGCCACTGCACAAGAAGTCAGCAGCAGCCATGGCAGGGGACTTCCCAAATATAAGCCATGGTTATAAAAAGTCAGTGGAGAGGACTCAGAAGAAGCTATGTAGTCAGGATGTAAGAACTGGCAAAAATGGGACAGGGGGATGTTTTCAGATTCCTCATTCTAGAAGGAAGGTTGCAATGTTCACCTGGGACAGTTTTCCTACAGAAAACTTACAGGGTCCTGAGCTTTGAGTGTCAACTGTAGCTCAGAACACGAGGCTGGAGCTCAGTTTTGCTTCAGTCAAAAATTTCAGGCCAGACATGGGGGTACGTGTATGTAGCCCCAGGACTTGGGGGAAGAGGCAAGAGAATTGGGAACTCAAGGCAATCTTGGACTCCATGAGACCTTGTTTCAAAAAAAATAAACAAAAATAAATAAATAGCAAAACTCTGTCAACTGGATATGGTGGCACACACCTGTAATTCCGGCTTATGGGAGACTGAGTTCAAGGTCAGCCTAGGGGGTACAATAGCTCTGAGTAGAGCACCAACAAAAGGCTCAGAAAAAGATGAGTGTTCTTTAGCCTTGAACAAACCATTCATGCAATAAATACAGTAGCCCATCGTCCCCAACTGAAGCCACTCAACTGACTTTGGAGACTAGGTGATCTACAGTCACCCCATCCCAAAGTCACCCTGTCCAGAGAGGAGAACTGCAGAACCCACACTCTTGGTTGTCATTCCCCCTTTCCTCACCCGTCCTGCCAGTTCCTCTGCAGCTGACTTCTCCCCTTCTTTCTTCATAGAAATCAACGGGACCCAGATTTGCCCCAACAACCTAGTGGCCTTCCATGACTTCTCCTCGGATCTGGAAAATGTGCCGCACCTGCGCTACCTGCGGCTGGATGGGAATTTCCTGAAGCCACCCATCCCACTGGACCTTATGATGTGTTTCCGTCTCCTGCAGTCTGTGATCATCTAGGCTGTGCCCAGAGCTGGACTCCCTTCTGACAGCACTTGAAGGCTGGTGGCCCGAGCTCTAGTGTCCATTTTTCTCTGTCTCCCTCTTGCTCCTGGCCCCGCCTTTCTTCCCATCCCTTTCTGAGGACGGGAAATGCCATGTGCCCTGCTCCAGCTCTAAGCAAGATTCCCCACCCAGTCCAAAGACACCCTGCCAGTCGAAACCTCTGGTCTTCTTTGGTCTCCCTTTGCTTCAGAAACATAGGCATATGCCAACAGACGCATCCCCTCCCTCCATGGGTAAGGCCATGGACTGACATGTTTTCTTAGTCTTAGTCAATCAAGAATTGGAAGCCATCCCAGAGGTGCACCCTGGAAAGTTCTGCTGAGAGCTCCTCCACCTTGGGCATCATCACCTTGAGAAGGCTGACAAACCCAGGTCTCCTGGGTCAAGATCCCTTCTTCTAAAACTATCACTCTGTCCCCCTGTTTCCTGATACCAGACATCACCCCACTCTCTGCTGCCTCCAGGAAGGAAGTGTGAGGGAATGACTGAGGAGGGTCATGGCTCCTCACACGTGTCTCCATCAGCCCTTCCTCCTCTCCTCTCCTTTCTCCTTTGGGCCAAGCACAGCACACACCCTCTTGGCTGGGCCTCAGAGGGGAACAGCCAGGGAGAAGAGTGGTTCAAGGAACTAGAATTTAGCTAATGGGTGGTGGCTAGGAGTCAGAGGCCCAGAATGGGCCTGTGTGGATGCAGATGAGCCCTACAGTCTCCCTGACCCAAACTTGACAAGAGACCCAAAGCCCTGCAGGGCAGTGTTCACAAGGGAAGGCCAAGAGGCAGCATCCCAGACTCTCTCTATTGTTTGTGACCCAGTCCCCACCCCAAAGACAGTTCTTGAGAAACAGGGAAAAGGGGGGTGGAGCACCTGGAAATCTCCCAGAAGCCTCTTTCACACTGGGGATTAGCCGCCACCTCTAGAGCAGACTCATTGGTGACATCTGGTGGTTGGTGAAGGTCACAGCCTACTCCACTCTCCTTGCAAACAGCTTCCGGAGGCCCCTGCGTGACTGGCTGAGTGTCTGTCTCCTCACCAATCTAAAGGGAAGGGCAGAGGTGGGGGGGTCACTCCCATCATGAGTGAGTGTGAATGGGGAAGCTTTGGGCGTCTAAGGGAAGCTAGTTTGACCTCGGCCGTGTCAGCTCTCAGCCAGTAGGTGCGATGTTCCCTCAAGGTCCTCTCAGAGCTGTGTTGCATGTCTGTGCACATTCTTCCAGAGCACACCTAATGCAGGACAAGTGGTGTTACCGGCCCCCTTGCAGTAATTTATTCCCTGCACAAGTGCCCCTCCCCCCAAAGATTTCACTACCCTCCCTTCCAAGCCGAGACCAGCCCAGGAACTTGGCAGGTTTCCAAGAACCTGGGCTTCTGGCCTTTTCATTCTCCTCATCTCCCTCTCGGGGAGGCTGCACCTGCCCTGCCACAGTTCCCTGAGTGTATGATGGAGAGGAATATGGGGAGATGAATGTTCTAGAAGTGAGTGAAGTACAGAGCCCACCCTCATTAGGATGGGGAAGGCTCTGGAGGCTTTTATATCTCCCCAGGAATAGTGTCACACAACTGTTTTTAAGACATCGGATTATGCTGGTCCTGATCGTCCAGAAACCCCATTTATATTCTTCTCATCTGCTCACGATGGAAAATAGAGCCCACTTCACACAACCTCTTTTCCTCTTGCCGAGCAACTTCCTCATTCTTCCTAGTTGCAACTGGTTTCTCCAAGGCTCCTGCTTAAAGTCAATACAGTATTACGGCTGAAAGCAACCTGGTGCTATGGCCTGGACAAGCCCTTTCTGCATCTATGCACAACCTGCAGGCCCTTTGTTGGGGACCGTAGGGAGCTCCTGTGGCTGCCAGAGATGGGGGTGGGCACTGATCCTGCAGACCTGAACTAGCACCTAGAACATGCCAGTTTGCCCCCACTGGTCTCTGCAGCTGTCAGCTAGAAGGACTAGAGTTAAACTGACTTGACAGGCGACAGATGCTCACACTCGAGTGCATGCTAGTTACCTTGGGGTTTAGAAAGCCCCTTCTCACACAAGCTCATTTGCTCAGCACCATTGGATCTATACACGCAGGTGCATGTGTTGGTGTGTGTATGTGTATGTGCTCTGTTCATAGTATCCATTCTCTTAAAGACCATGCTAACCCTGATACAGCTTTCACTTTTCAACAAGCTTCATAACAGGAAATAAAGTCATATGGAAAACACCCAGCATGAACCTGACCGTGTGGATGGGTCAAATGCTGTCTTGCCACCGACTCACTCACTGCATCTTGCTGAGAAGATGGGTGAAGAAAATATCTTTCTTAAAAAGTGCTTTGTGGATTTATTTATGTTTAGCCTGCATGTATGTGTGCGTATCACATGCATGCTTGGTGCTCACAGAGGTTGGAAGATGGCACTGGATCCCCTGGAACTGGAATTATGAATGGGTGACTGCCTCCATGTGAGTGCTGAGAACTGAACCCGTGTCCTCTAAATGAGCAACAAATGCTCTTAATTTCTGAGTCACGTATTCAGCTTAGCTCTAAAGACATTTCTTAAGAAATGTTTTAACAAACTCCTAAGAGTCAGGACTGGTGGTGCACGCCTTTAATCCCAGCACTGAAGTAACAGAGGCAGGCAAATCTCTAGGAGTTTGAGACCAGCCAAAGTTACATAGTAAGACCTTGTCACAATAAATGAGAGGGATATCCCAGAGCCTATTCTTAGAGAATGTCTCCCAAATTCATAACCTTCATGAAAAATTATTCCAAGGCAGACACTGGAAGACTCATGGTCACCTTTTCTGCCCAAGGAAAGATTGTAGATTAATTGGGGACACGCAGTGTGAACTGGAAGTGCCCAGAGCAGACAGCCAAGGGACCAAATCATCCGGAAAGGTCTACAGGCCACGCAGAAGCTGGGAAAGACATCAGTTACCAGGGCTGTCTTTAGAGGAAATTTGGCTACAGAAGGGGATTTGCGACCCTCCCAACCTTTGCTATTTGTGTAAGATGAAAACCGACAGATACCCTCGCCCCGCCCTCCCTGCCTGATAGGTGCCTGCTTCAGATCAACTGTACACCAGGCAGGTCCGGGTTAAGAATTCAAGGGTGGGCGATACATGCCCCATGCCTTTGGGGAAATAATAACTTGATAAAAGGGTGGGGTGCATCCACGGATTCATTTTTTTTCTTAATTGTGATGGTATTAACTATAAGCAACTCAGAGGGGACCTACTCTCTGCCTGGAAAGTCTCAAGGAAGCGGGCTCTGGGGGATCTAGTTTTGTCAGCTAAGAGATGGACAAAGCATATGACTTAGAGGAAAACAGCGGGAACGAAAAGGTAGCCAGGTAGGCTGGGGTCCAGCTCATGTGTGTGGGGTAGGGATTCTCAGTCCTCAGCAGAGAATACCAAAAGGCAAGCGGGTCCTTGAACGTTCTAACCCCCCTCTCTCCCTGCCCACAACAGAGCAGCAGCAGGGTCAGCCGGCCAGACTTCCGTCCACATGGCCTGCTGCCTCTGTCCCATCAGCACGCCTCGTGTCTCTCCTACAGGGCAGCGCTTGCCAGGCTCGCGGATCAGGGACAGAGCCCGCCCACCTGCCGCTTCCCACGCAGGTCCGCGTTCCCGTCCACCAACGCCCCCGAACTCCATGGGAGCGACCGCAAGCTTGCGAAGGCGGGAATAGAAGCCGGGGGAAAGTGTAGGATGAGAGCCTACACTGCAAAGAGTTTGCCTGGGGCGGGGTGGGGAGGGTGGGGAAAGCGCGTGGGAGCCGACGCGTGCGCGGTGCAGGGCTGGCTGCTCCCACCTCCAAGTGTGGGGGCGGATGCTCCTCGGGGAAGGAGGTGGGGCGACGGGGGAGGGAGGTGTCGGACAGCGGGAGTGTGGAGGGGGTGTGTCGCCGAGAGTGGGGAGAAGGGTGGGAGCAGGTGGTAGGGGGAATGAATGAGCAGTCTCATCTGCATTCCTTGCAGGGACAAATGGCGTGGAGGTGGGAGGGGAGCATGCTCTCCACTGTCTGAAGGGACCGAGGGTCTCTGGAAGAAAAGAATGGAGGAGCAGGACCAGCCAAATGTGCCATCTGCTTCGAGGGCGTCCTCTTGGCTTGGGACTCTTATCTCTCTCTACCCAGCTGAGCTTCTGAAAGCTGTCACTCCCCTAATGGGAGATCTCCCAGACAAAACAGCCTTGTTCTGGCAGGTGGCCTCTTGGGTTGCCAGAAGCCCCTTACCACACCAGCTGAGACCTCCTCGAGGTCTGGCTATTAGGTGTGCCCACTCACCTGACATCACAAGCTGGGCATGGGTTTTGCCGAGGCCATCTGTTCTGAGGGCACAGAGTCACCATGTTCTTAGGATTCCTGGGATGAGGCTGAAGGAAGGTGACCCTTTCGAACCCAGAAAACACTCAAAATGTGGTGTTGGCCTTAGCTGTGGGTGACCTTGAACCAATCACTTCCCCTCTTTGGTCCTCCTCTATAGTAAGGAATAGATGATCTTCAGGGGGCCTCCCAACTGGGATTCCAGTATGCCCAGAGGAGAAGAAAGCATCAGTGAAAAACCTGGGCAACAGAAAAGGATGGCATTCTCCAGCTCCTGCCCTCCTCTGGGGATATATGGGGCATATCCCAAGGAAAGATGGGACCCTTGGAAATGGGGATGGGAAGGTTCTAGGCCAGAAGCCATGCACAATGGCACACCCCCTTGGGTGTTTGTAAACCAAATCTCCGCTCCTGTCCTTGTCCTTTCTTCCTACAGGAGTTAGAGAACTTCCTGTCTTGTTCTTGGTGACTGCCATCTGTGAACTTGAAGTTGGTCTTCAAATTCTACCCCACTCCCTGTTTCCCTTTGCATAGCCCAAGCCCTAAAATCTTCCTTGATGATTTTGCTTAATATGATTCGCAGTGCTCTAGGGGTAGGGCTGATTGGGTTGCCCCAGTCCAGATTCTTTTCCCTTTGGGTTCCAACTATGAAGTCAAGTGTGGTCATTCCTGGGGGGAGGGGGGCTCCATTTCTCCAGAATACCCCAGTTCAGTCTTCTGGAAAACTTGTACTCTAACTGACCAGCCCCCAAAGACCAGAGAAGAAGACCATGGTGTGTGTGTGTGTGTGTGTGTGTGTGTGTGTGTGTGTGTGTGTGTATGTATGTGTGCGTGTGTGCGCGCATGCCTGTACAAGGAATTCCTGTTCATTAAGTGAAGAAATAGGATTGGGGACCCCCTGAGGAAAAAGGAAGGGAAACAGCAGGACATCTCAAAGAATGGGAAATCTAATTAGACACATGGATCCCTGGGTCAACTACTTGTCCTCCTCCTAGCCAATAGATGAGGGCCTGTCTAGCTGTCCCCTAGTCAGGCACACAGCCACCCTCTTCATCAGAGCCTTTATCTCCTTGGAAGCTGCAGGGCCAGACGGATCCAAAAGCACCTAAAAGGTAAGGTCCAAGGTTGGAGGCCTCACCCATATTGGCAGAGTCCGGACTGGGGCAGGGACTGGGCAGAAAGGATGGGGAGTCTGAGAGTCTAATCAAAGAATCTAGAAGGCTTCTGAGTGGTCAGTAAACTTGGGAATTGTTTTAAAGAGCATATAGTTTGGAGTAGGGGTAGGGAACAAAGAGACGCCCACTTCTTACTACTGCCAGGAACTTATCCCTTAGTCCGGCTGAAATTAAGAAGAAACCTGTGTTTTAGGAGGTCAGACACACACTGCCTACAATGGTACAGGCACTTCAATGCCCATAGCACACACAGTCCTCCACCAGTGTGCACAGATGTGATTATACTGTACAGATGTCTGTGTATACATCATGTAGTTGAAGTTATCCATGTGCACACGCATATGTACATAGATAGCTCCCGAGCTTTCCTGGTGGGAAAACACTCCCACGACCACGCACAGGCTCTCTGGTTTCTACAATGTATTTTTAAAATGTTCCATTTCTAAGTCTATTTTATGAGCTAACGTCCTTCTTTTACATTGTATGTCAAATTGTAAGACTTGTCTCCAAGTTAACTGGTTGCTCCTAAAATGGGCTGGGTCTTAATAATTTCTACCCTTCCAGAGGCAAGTCCAGAGACCGCAACTCAGTAGACTCCCCATGAATGTTAAAGAGGCTGTCTGAGTGAGTGATCTTAGTCTAATCACAAATGGGGCTAGGGAGAGGGCTCACTTGGTATCAGCTTGTATAACATGTATGAAGTTCTGGACTTGGTACCAGAACTTGGTGCACACCTGTTATCCCAGCACTTGGGGCAGGAGGATCAGAAGTTCAAGGTCCTTCTCCACTACATAGGAAATTGAAGGCCAATCTAGGGTACCTGAGACCCTATCACAAAAACAAAAGCCAAAGGAAACAAAAGTCTCTTTATTGTAGTTTCTCTGAAGCTAGTTTTTTTTTTTTTTTCAGAAAGAGTTTGTTCTGGATATGTGGTGGTCTGCTAGGGAATATCTGTACAAATGTATGTGTGTGTCCAGTGCACAGGTGAGTGGACAGAGGACTTTTGTAAGCATGTCTGTGGTGAGATGAGTAAGCCAGCCTGTGGGAGCCTGGGTGACTGATGACCACACAGTGAGCTGCAGTGAGTGATGGCTCAAGATGCCTCCAGACACAGCCTGGCCTTTAAGGAGCCTTAGTGTAAGATGAAGCTGTCGAGTAAGCTTGGGTGGTGGAGGACAAGAGTGAGCAGGCATGTAGGTCAGAGGTTGGGTGACCTTGTGGGCCATTCCCACAAAACACTAGAGAGCTCAGATACTGGTCCTTCTACCACCTATGCACAGGATGTACGGTAATGGGATTCAGCCATTCCCATTCCTATTCCTCCCCCAGAACCCCATGAGGCTCCTGGCTTTCCTGAGTCTGCTGGCCCTGGTGCTGCATGAGGCAGGAACAGCTTCCCTCCCAGGGGAGAGGAAAAGAGAGGAGCAGAGCCCCACGGAAGGTGACACTTACCCATTTCTACATATGGGAAACTATGCCCTGAACCTAGAGGACTACAGCGAAGTCATTGACCTGAGCAGCTATGAGGAACCTGCCGACTATGGGGACCAGATCTCTGAGGTGGAAAGACACAGTTGACTTGGATTCCCTGATTAAGGCCAACTCTCTTTCCACCTGCCCTATAATACAAGTCTTTCAGGCTCTCAACTCTCTCTCTCTCTCTCTCTCTCTCTGTGTGTGTGTGTGTGTGTGTGTGTGTTCATTAATATGTATGCAGGTATACATGCATGTATGCATATATGTGGGGAACTCAAGGACAGACAAACTTAGATATTGTTCTTCTGGAGCTGTCTATCTTGTTTTGTATAAGACAGGTTATCTCACTGGCCTGGATCTTGTCCAGTAAGCTAGGCTGGTTGGCCAGCAAGCCTCCCCAGCATTGAGATTTTGAGCATTAATTGCAGATCCTGACAAGACAAGCAAACGACAGTTCAGAGGATCAAACTCATGCCCTCATCTTGCAAGGGAAGCTCTGTCCAACAGTGCCATCTTCCAAGGCATGAGGTACAAATTCTAATCCCTCCTTAGGAACTTGTCACTTACAGGCTACTACAGAAGAGGACACTAACTTCCATTGTCTTAGTTAGTCCATGTGTCACACTTGGTAGGACCCCTCACAGAAGGGGACCTCATACATACCTCCCAGTGTGGTCAAATAGGATCGTGAGCCATGTTATAGGGTGAGGGTCAGTTGTGTCTTCATGTTATCCCTAAAAAAAGAGGAGGGGGAGATGCTAGCTTGTTAATTCACAGTCTGTCTTCCAGTCTGAAGTTCTCCCCTGTCCTCTGCAAGGATTGACCTGTACAGCATGGCACATGAACACAGAAGCCTCTTCCCACTGTGATGTGACCGGGATTGGGGTAGAGAAAAGGGTTAGTGCTGGTTTGAACAATGCAGAGAAGGGAGTGAGTACCAGCCTGGATGACGCAGTAATGGACTTCAGCTCTGTGTTGGGACCTTCTGGGTACCTAACCCTCACCCTCTCCTCCTCTGAACTCAGTTTCCTCATTTTTGTATGGAAGACACTAGATGCTATGTTCTCCAAGGTCCTTTCCTTGCTCTCTTGCCCTCCTCTTATTCCACATGTTTGAACTTGGTCACTGCGGTTTCCAGAGGCCACAGTTAAGTCCTTCTCAGGCATATACTGACCTATGGTATGCTGTGTGCTGTGTCTCCAGGCTAAAGTGGACAGAGTGACTCTTCCAACAAGAACTAGCTCCTCCCAGAGCATCATGGCTCCAAAGATATCATCATCAAACCTCACAATGACCGGGCCTACCACCAGTGACCTACTGAACTCCCAGAGCAGTCATGGTAAGTGTATGCAATCAAGTCACAGTATACATAGACCACAGACCAAGCAACCTCAAGCTAGCACCAGGCAGTTCTAAAGTGGGGTATGGTGAGGGCTAAGGCCAGAGAGTCCTGGGTCTGGGTTAGCCTCTGCCAGTAGGAAAAGAAGGGGAGGTTGCCATGGGGGGGGGGGGAGGGGAAGCATCAACCACCATTAAGGGGAGTGGCTGGCTGTCTCTGATACTTTTGCATAAATATTATGCACAAATTGAGTGGGATGCAAAGCAAGCAAGAACTCCTACACCCTATCAAAGCCACCCTACCTTAATTAACAGCATCACTTGGGGAGCAGTTTGAGTGGTAATTAGATTAGAGATGATTAAAAGCCTGGAAAGGAGAATAAGTAACTGTGGCTGTCACTTGGCATGGCAGCAAATGAAGCAGTGACAATGACTTCAGTTTCAAATTCACCTTTGTTAGCAGCCCTCCCCCAGTGTCTTCCTGGGGACTGGGGCACAGCATCCGTAACTCTTGACGGGATCAAAAACTGGAACACAGGAGGAACACAGCTTACCCTGGACTCACTGGCACTTGGTATCCTGTTTTCTTGGATGCTTGCCAGCATGGACTTGGGGTACTGAGATCAGCTGAGATGCCCTATGGGGAGTCCATGAACTCTCACAGCTGCAATCTCAGACTTGAAGAGGCCATGAAGGGTCTCAGCTGCACCTGCCTTCCTCAGCCTTGGGAGAAGGGCATAGGGCCTCTGCCCCCTGCCCCTGCTGTCCTTCCTGGCTGCTTCATCTCTGGACTGTGAACTTTCTTCCCATGCCTTTTGGATACAAGCCTCCCTCTCAGTAATCTCTGTGACTTGTGACAGCAAGTGACACAAACATTGTTCAGCTGTCTGAATTTCTTGACCACTTTGTGCAGAGAGACCAAGAGGGGCAGAAAAAGAGGGAGGGATGTTTCCCACTGCAAAATCAGGGTGCTGATGACCTCCCAAGAGGACATGGATGCTAAGCAGACACCATCCATTCCACCTTGGCTCTGATGTGCCTTCCTGGAGCCACATAACCCTCTTCCTAAGACAGAAGCAGCAACCATGGGCTATCTCATATAATTCTGGCTCCCCCCCCCATTTACACTGTACCTTTTGGCACTAAAGAAGAGTCCTCTGGGAAAGAGACAGACAGAGGTCCTAGAAGTAGCCACATTAACTCAGGAGAGCCTACAAAGCATCAGTGGGACTTGCACTGAGTGGTAGTGAGGTGAATCCTCTTTTAGGCCAGGGCTGAATGACAGGCCCAGAGCAACTATGAGTACGATCTGGGTGCATTGTGCTGGGTGGTTAAGGCAGTCTAAAATCCACTGGCATTCTAAAAGCCACAGATGTCCATGGCTTAGCCATCCACTGAAGAAAAGACCACTGGCCACAGAGGCTGACAGAGATGTCGCTGTGTTCTGCCCTCTACCTGGCCAGGCCTGCCTACCTGCCTGGTCTGTGTGTGCCTTGGCTCTTCCGTGTACTGTGATGATGCAGACCTGGAGAACATACCCCCACTTCCCCGGATGACCACCTACCTGTACGCTCGCTTCAACCACATCAGCCACATCCAGGCCAGAGACTTCAAAGGGCTGAGTGAGTTATGCTTTAAGAAAGGTCATGGCAAGGCAGAGAGGACTGCCAGGACACAGACGTGAGCTCACAGGCTGTCAAAGGGACAGACGCCCCAATCCTTTTAGATCCTTAAGAGTTTAAAGTAGTGGGTGGATGCAACCAGTTCTTCTCATGAAGGGTCTGGGGTACGGGAAAGGAAGGTATGCTCAAGGCAACATTTCCAGGATGTTCAAGAAACTGCACCTGTTAGGCTGTGGCTAGACTCCCCTAAACCTCCTCTCTGTGGCCCTGATGCTATTCAAAGAGCTGTTTGCTGTTTCTTTGTTTTGCTACTTCATGCCACACTCCTGCTTGAGGTGGGAGGCCTGGGCACGCCTCCAGCTTCTACCTTGTGTTGCCAGTAGCCTTTCAAGTCCTTACTGTCTGCCATGTAAAGTAAGTTGTGCAGGGGGGTGGTGAATGCAGCCCTTTGGGAACTTGCTAGTTCTTGTCCTGAGGCTGGGGTAGGGCTCTTTTAAGGAGGGTAACTAAACAGAACCAAAGCTCGGGAGGAAGCTTTGAGGAATGTCATCGTTTTCAAAGGAGAGCTGATTTAGCCTTGTTTCTGTGGTTTGGACCTGATGCAGGTGATGAGCTAGTTAGAACTCCCTTGAGAAGGGTGGAGCAAGGCATGGAGGCAAGCAGATATATGTTCCAGTTTCACCCTTTGTTCTCTCCCCATGTCCTTCAGCAAAACTGAAGAGGATTGACCTCTCCAGCAACTCCATCTCCTCCATCCACAACGATGCCTTCTGCCTGCTGCCTGCCCTGCAGGATCTGATCCTCCCAGAGAACCAGCTGGCAGCTCTTCCTGTGCTGCCCAGTGGCATTGAGTTCCTGGATGTCCGACTGAATCGGCTGCAGAGCTCGGGGATACAGCCAGAGGCCTTTGTGGTGAGTCAGGACCTCAGCCCACCACACTGCACCCACTCTACCCATGTACCACAGAACACAATACCCAACCACCACACAACACCCACTCTACCCATGTACCACACAACACCCACCCACCACATAACAACCACCCTACCCATTTACCCTACCTAACCTCACAGCAATTCATGTTCAACCCTGGTCTGGAGCCTGAAAACCAATTCCCATTTTCTTCTTTTACTATTTATGGCTTCTTAAACATTCTTCTTATGAAGAGGGTGTTTTACATTATGCCATTGTGGTAGTCTCTATAGCCCTGTGTGAATGGAAAGCACAGTGCTATCAGGCCTCAGGAACATAGAAAACCAATAATGGTAACTCTCCCATGCCTCTGTGAGGATACCACTGTCGTGCTGGCTGTTTTCTACGCATCTGTTATACTCACTCTCTTTGTTCCAGGCCTGCTCACCCAGACCTGCTCACACCAGGCCTGCTCACACAAGGCCTGCTCACACTAGGCCTACTCACCCCAGACCTGCTCACCCTAGACCCGCTCATACCAGGCATACTCACCTGTTCTAACCTTGAGAATTCCAGTTTGTCTGTGGTGCTAAACCTGACTCCAACTCCTATAAATCATCTTAATGGTTTTGAAATCTGCCACCAAGTAACCAGTCACTGTCTCTTTATGGTCAGATTCTAGAGACACAGTTTGATGGGTTACTGTCCAGATTCGATGGAAAGAGTTAAGTCATTTGACACAAATATGATCCTGTGAGGCTGCCCAAGGAACAGACTGGCAAGAGCCCAGGATACATTCCACTGAAGACAAGGAGAGAGTGATAAGACTGGCGCCTCCCAGCATGCTGGCCGCCATACTGGAAAGGGCCTTCAAAGACTGGTTGTTCATGTGTAGTCTCTCTCAAATACAATCCAACCATATGTCAACATTTCTATCAATACTGAACTATAGGCTTGGTGGTGGCCTCCTAAGATTGAATCATCTAGTAACTTCATAGCCCTTTTGGTTTGTGTAAGTAATTTCACAATGACACGTTTCTCAGAATGTATCCCTGTTCTTGAGCAATGCTCAGCTGTGGCAGGCCCCTTTTTGCAAACAAAGTCATAAGCATCAAATAGATAAAGTAAAAATGGCTATATGCATATATATGTACATTCTGTTATATATTGTTATATATTAGTGTAGGTGGAGTTTTTCATCAGGACTGCCAGCCAGCTCCCAAATAACCACACAGACTTAACATTAATTATAAATGTTTGGCCAATAGCTTAGGCTTGTTACTAACTAGCTCTTACAACTTAAATTAAACCCCATTTCTTATCTAAGTTCTACCACGTGGCTCATGGCTTGTTACCTCACTGTATCTATACATCCTGCTTCCTCTTTGCCTGGCTCAAGATTCCTCAGACCCCGCCCTTTTTCCCAGTGTCCTCCCAGTTTGGCTTCCCCACCTAACCCCTTTTTGCCTAGCTACTGGCCAGTCAGCTCTCTATTAATCCAATCAGAAGGCACCTTGCCAAGACACACCTTTACAGTGTACAAAACAGATCATTCCATAGCATTATGCTGTATATAATATAAAATCATAGGCAAGGATCTTGTTATGTAGTCCAGGATATCCTCAAGCTCATTATCCTCCTCCCTTGGCTTCCCGAGTCCTGAAATAACATCGGTGCACCACCATGCTCACCAAGAGCTGGGTGCTTGCCCTGTTACTACTCTTCTTCACAAACATCTTCCACCCTCCCAGTCTGCTGTGTGTTGTGGGCCTACAGAGGGTACAGAGAACAGTGTCCACGCCACTGGTAGATGGGATGCAAACCCTGCAGACGCTGGTTTTCTCAGCTGTGCAGGAAGCTCTGGGATTGTCTGCACCAGGAGGTCCCTGGCTGTTCCAGCCCTCAGCAACGTCCTGACTGTTTCCATATTAGGAGGTGCTTCTCGGCCTTCACTCAGGCCTGTTTTCTTGGTCCAGAAAAGGCAGGGGCTTTGGAGCCAAAGGACCAGAGCTCATTGAGTGAGTCACCTCTGCTCTTGTTTCCTCGTTTATAGAACAAGGGTGACAATGCCCCCTTGACACAGCTGCTGCAGGATTGAACATAGTGTTTGCACAGATCACGGGTTGACTAAATGTAGGTAGTGGATGCTCCACTGAGTGGGAGCTTACTCCTTACTGTTTTCTGAGCCGCCTGCAGGCTGATTCCTATCTCATCAGCCCTCCCTGATCCTGATGGTGCAATTACACTCACATGCTCCATGGGCCTGTGTGCTTTGGGTTCTGCTCTGCCACTCTGGCATCCTGAGCATGCTCTCCATAGCCACACTGAGTGGAGCATTTGGAAGACTTCACTGGTGGCAGAGCAGTTGAGGCTGAGCTGAAATGTCCCCCTGGTCCTTCCTTCTACCTGTTCCTGCCATCGTAGCCAGCTCCTCCCAGCCAGCACTAACAGCTGCTTTGTGCTCCCCAGCGACTAGCACTCAACACACAACAGCTTTCTTCAGGTATCAGATGGAGTTAGTATCTGTAAGCTCATTAAAGAACTGGCGCCCTTAGCTGGGCTTTGGTGGTGCACGTAGGACTCGGAAGGATGCATTAGGACCACAAGACTGAAGCCAGCCTGGGCTACAGAGAGAATTCTAGGCCTGCCCTAAGATTCTGGAGAGAGACAGGAGATAGACACATAGACACACACAGACACAGACACAGACACACACACACACACACACACACACACACACACACACACAGAGAGAGAGAGAGAGAGAGAGAGAGAGAGAGAGAGACAGCCCCACCCCATGAGTGGGACTAACCTGACACTGGCCACACACATACACACACACACACACACACACACACACAGAGAGAGAGAGA